CAGACAGCAAATCATAAATTAACTTATGTGTCTTCTGACTTCTAACGCCTCGAGGCCTGTTTCATAAAACAAGTTTACCAAATAGGCCAGGCTTATTTCAGTTAGTCTGACTCACTGTCAAATGATTTGGTTCCATAAAACAAATTTAACAAAGATCAAAATCAGTCACTGTGGCAACTTATGCTGGAAAGCTAACCTGGTCCAGGGCAGGCAAACTGTCAGACTAAGCTGAGCTCCTCTAACACTGAACAATAGGAATGCAATGATATTACCACTGACTCTCTCACATACTATCATAGCCATGCAGCCTTTTTCTCTGGTTTTATGACAGCTGTACATTTAAAATCTTAAAATTGTAAATTAAAATCACTAAACTAAAAGTTAAAATCACTAAATTAAAACTACATTTTAACTGCTATAAGAAACACACATTAAGTAGTAATTAAGTAGTAAGCTTAGTAATTAGGACTGTATTAGCTTACATTTTATTTACCCATTACAATAGTCCCTTTACATTTACTGCTGTCATAAGAATACACCTATATGTAGGTTTAAAATTCTACAAAAGGCATGCACATTTAATGTCCAACAACGAATATTTTAGCATAATGCATATTTCACTCAGAATCATTGTGCTCCGTCTGTTTAGCGTGCATGTGCGCAGCAGCACTCATTCACTCCGGACAGCAAGCATATTGGATATATTTGCATGACTTTCTAACATTTACAGAGGAAAAATATACTAGTGACATGTCAGTTATGCACTGAGGAAAACACAACGTCTCAAATGCATTAAACAGCACAAATATATTCGCTGTTTGCCATGGTGGATCGATTTGATCCATGATCGACATTAAGGGCTGTTTAAGATTAAGCGTCTACAAATTAGTTAGACTGTGTGAACGTTTATGGAACTGCTTTAGCCCCGATTGATTTGTTAGGTTATTTCAGGTCAGGTTTTTGGAACTTTAATCCCCTCTTTTCCTTGGGTCTCCGTGGTTTTGTGATTCGTCATATTCACGCAGTAGCAGTGGTGAGAGAACACGGTTGAGAAACAGTTTAGAGAGGAGAAATCAATCTACATACAAAATACTGGTCACAGATAATTGGTCACTTTCTAAACAATAAAAGCGTAGCCACCCACTAGTAATTATATGTAAATAAATTGGTTTTTACCGATGCAAATATGTTAGAAACGATGCATTGCGATACAAATGCCAACTTGTATCCGATGCACACTTTTTAAACCGATGCATCGCATCGTTAACTTTTTTTTTGCCGATGCACAGAGCGAATCGGGGAAATACGCAATAAGTGCATTGTATTAAATGATTAATTTAAATGTAAGGCCACCTAATATAAAGTGGGACCTTACATTTATTTCCCTCCCCACTAAATTACATTCCTAAACTCCTATTATCATTTATTGAGCATATTTACATTAAAACATTTGTTTAACTTTAAATATTTGTATGCATGCGTCTTATTTGTGAATTAAACTCATGACCTTGCCCTGGTTAGTGCCATACTAGACGCTACCAGATAATCGTTAAGAACTCTATGTCTGCTATTTTGATGCTCTACTCTACTAGCCGAACTAATACCACACTGTACTTCAGTGCAATTAAATATGCAATTGAAAACCTTAGTAGGCTATACTTTTTTATACACACTTGAATGTGTTCTCATTTATATTCAATAGTGTACTTCTGCATTGTTCTCAGAGTTGTACAGTAGCAAAGGTCCAGACAATCATATGGCTTGGTTGGATATAAAATGAAACAAGCAATGTATATTTCAGAAATACTTATAGTAAACATTCAAGTTTGCACCAGAAGTACTTTTTTTATGGGTACTATTTTTAATGGGTAAATACTTCTTGCTATTATTGTTTTGTAATACACAGACAGAGACATTTCCATGTAATAGTAATTTGTTTTGAAAGAAACAGGCAGCTTTTGCATAAAAGGTAGTCTAAATGTAAATAGAAATGGGCTACTCCCATGCTAATGAACTCATAGAGGTAGAATTTCAAGGTTTTATTTTTACAATACAAATTGATTTGTCCTCAAATATTTTTGTGCTAAACTTGAACTTTAACGTTATTATGACAAAATAAATAAATACATAAATAAAGACATAATTTAGAACTAGAGCATTAAATGGTTTATTTACTAAAAGAAAATCTGTAATACACAATACAACTATTTATAGGTAAAATTTTGCTAGATTCATTATAGTTATTGAAAAATTATTTTCACAATTGATTCCAATAAATAAATATATAATATCACAATTCATGGTGTTTCAATGATGGTTATTATTACTACCTCCCAGTTCTTCAAAATAATATAGTAAGTAGTTATATTTGTTTCCTTTTTAGAGATTACTGCCTATTACATTTGTTATTTGAATTGGCTGTACGGTTGCTCTCCAGATGAAACACCTCTTCATCTTCTCTCTTTCTCCAGCTTAATTTTCTGTCACTTTCCAGCCCCATGCTCTTCAGCTTTTCACTTATCTGGAAAACCAGCAAGAAAGAAGGAAATGATACATTAAATATCATCACACTACTGTTGGCTACATATTATTTTTAACCCTAACAACAACAACGATGATGATGAAATTAGTGGTGCTGGTTGGTTATAAGGTATACTTGGCATTCTAGTGCAACAACACAATTTGACAATGAAACTAAAATGGTTGTTTAAGGCAGATGCAAACCTCATTCAGAACGGTCGTCTGTAGTGAAGGATCATTCAATGTGCATTTTCCATTACAGGACAATTTCAGTCTGATGATCTGTTTTTTAATTAACTTGTCATCTAGAGAAATACAGAGTTAAAGTCATCCTCAACACAGAAGACAGATGAATAAATGAAAACATTTCATAGTTGTTTGTAAAATTTGTTTCAAATCCTCTTGTTTGAATTATTTGATTCTGTTAACTGGGGAAACTCACCTCCATTGCAGATAAAAGGCTGCTGTAGATCACAGCTATATTGAGACCATCTGCCAGAACTGGTTTTTGACATGCCAACACAGTCACCAGATCCTGAACTCTGGGATGGTTGACCTGCTGCCCAATGTCTGAAGAAGAGGATCCATTTATCAGACCATTCCCAAGAGTCCAGAAACAGACAGATCCAGATGTAATATCCAGATAAAAGGATCTTAGTTATCTGGTTATTTTGCTCAGAGTTGTGGATGGTGGGAAGGTCTGTGTGATGCTGTCTACAGTAGCTCTGAGCATCACTCCAGTTTTTAGCGCTCTGTACCAAGATGTATCCAGAAGTTTCTATTGAGAGATGCAAAGAAACAATCATGCAGTGCTCAGCTTTTTTTCCCCCAATTAAAATTCACATTCACAAATTTAAAAGAACAGGGAACTCACCATAGCACACAAAATATCGCTTATAGCTACATAACATATAATGCCAAACTCCAGAATAAATAACTACACAATCTCCATCCCCATTTGGCTGTGCTGAACCCCAGTTATAGTACTGAGAAGATGTGTTTTCTCCATTAGACCAACCCCAGCGTTTCTGTGTCCCCTTCTTCAGTCCAATCCACACTGATCCACTGTATCCAGCATCCACTATATTTACCAGCCTGTTCATATCACCCATGCTGTCTACAGTAGCCAGAGCAGTGAATCTCTCTCTGCAGTAACTCTGAGCCTCTGGCCACGACATTCTCACATTTATATAGTGGTACGGACGAGAATGAGCAGAACTGCTCCAGAAGAGCCCTGTTAAAATCAACATGTTAAACCATCTATATGTGAACACATCATCATAAATACAGATTACAAATGACCACACCAACCTGACAGCTGAAGCAGCACAAACAGACTCCCGTCCATGACTGCTCACACAGATCCTCTCTGCTGTTTATCGCCACTGTCTGCTTTTGTATTCTAATTTGTAGGAAAATAAGTGGAACAGAAACCTACATATCTAATGCCATTATCTATAAGTGAAAAGACAATCTGAAAATTCATGACACATTTCATAATTTTGCAATTAAAATTTTAACCCAAATGAAAAGTTTACATTTTTATTTGTTTTTGTACTACGTTTCCTTTACACACAGTGTCACTTATTTGAAATGTTAGTTTTCTACCTCAGAATTGTTTTAGTTCTTTATATTTTCTATATTGCTACTGAAGCGGTGTCTCATCTGCGTTGTGTAGTAAACTGAGTCTCATTACACGGAAATCACATCCTCGTTTATTGGATCGCTGGGCAACACAAAACGGGCAAATTGAGGACTTGTGCAGCAAATAAAGCAGTGCGATGCAGCAATGCACGACGCTGAGAAAAATATAAATAATCACAGAGGGACTTGTAATCACAATTATACAAGTATATAGTGTGAAATCATCTGTTATGCGAAATATAGGTCTAATTGAATCACTACGTAAACGTTTGTAACCTACCACTGTGTAATCACATGCAGACTGGGAAGAAGCTAAGTGTGCTAACTCCCCAAATCAGCATGGTTGCCAGATAAACACAGGAAATCCAAGCATGGTCATGGCAAGTGGAATCACAAAATACTTGGGTAACACTTTATTTTGATGGTCTCTTTTGAACATTCTGTTGACAATAAGTAATATTGCACCTACATGTCTACTAACTCTCATCAGAGTATTAGTAGACTGTTTGCTTAATATCTAATAACTCTTTATTGTCATGGTCTCCCAACAGACATTCTACCGACTATAAGCAACTTGGCAAGTACATGTCAATTTATTCTAACCCTAACCCTACCAGTCTACTACTAATACTCTAATGAGAGTTAGTAGACATGTAGGTGCAATGTTACTTATAGTCAACAGAATGTGTTAAAGGGACCATCAAAATAAAGTGAAACCAATACTTGTTCTAAATGCACACCTGCTGCACTACACAGGAACTACTTCTGCTGTCACCTCCATAGGAACATGGTCAAATACAGGGATTTTAAGTGGTTAAACTGACAGTGTTACATCCATTCCTAGCAGGCCTGGTTCTACAGGGATGCTAGAAGATGCAAAACAACCTCTAATGAAAGCAAGAGCACCCTTGAAGCTGCAATAATAGGATATTGGCAGATTTAGCAAACACTTCTGTTTATTTGTGTTTGTGCCCTGGAGAGTGTGAAAGGTCTATTCTCAACTTGTTTTTGCAGCGTTGAGCAGTGGAGCCAATCACAGACATATCTGTTGATTTCTTGGATGCAATGGCCAATCCGAGGCATTTAAGTTATAATCTGGATTTTGTGTTTAGTGCTGAGTTCTGCACGCTTGCAGATCCTCTCATTATAACACACAAAGGGCAGACACACGGCAAACAAGACATTACAAGTAACTAACTTCATGAGTCCACGATCAATTGAAGAGAGTGACAGATTTGTAATGATTATAAAAGGGAGTGCTGTTTTTGTGCTTTCTAGGCTATAATCCATACAGAATTTGAATATCAGAATTTTTGTTTTTTTATGCTTCCAAAAGCCACATACACGGCCACATTCATGCTGCAAAGCTTCGAGAGTGACATCTGCATATAAATGCAGTATTCACTCTCAAAATTGCAATGACAGACATAATCATAGCAAGGGGACAGATATAAGAATATCATTTTACTTTAATTTGACCTATTACAAAAGGATTTGCACATTTCTTACACTCCTCTCTGCATAAAAAAATGGTAATTTCACACACAAAAATATAATCTTTATTACTAGTAATTAACAGTATCTTAAACTTAATCTACAAAAATATTAACATTTTAAACTAGACCATTAGTTATAGGCTATTGTGCATTATGCATTTTATTTACTTTTTATAGTTAAGATAGGCTGGACTAATTAATATAGTTTAATTAATTTTTTTTTTTTTTTTGAGAAACTGGGATGGTGCCCCCCTGGGAGTTGGTGCCCTACGCGAACTGCGTACTCTGCGTATAGGGAGCGGCGGTACTAATGAAAGTGATGCACGGGCTTCATCTTGGGCTTTTTTATTTTTCTTTTCTCTGTGCCGGACTGCGTCTTTTCCCTGATATAGTCTAGTTGTCCATTAATTATGATGATCATTTATATTCAGCCAGAATTATGAGGTGAGAGCAAGCGCGAGCATGGGCGCAGATGCGGGAATGGCGCGTCACGTGTGCTTATACTTCTGTGTACTGTTTTTTGGTCCAATAAGTAATATCACTGTCTTATTCGAAATTATTAGGACAAAATTATTGGTCATCCAATCTTTTACATTTTTAACACACTCTGTTATCTAAATGATCTTAGATCATTTAGAAGTTTCATCTGGTCTTGTTGAGATATATAGTTGAGTATCATCAGCATAACAGTGGAAACTAATCCCGTATTTTCTAATAATATTACCAAGGGGCAACATGTATATCGTAAATAGCAGAGGACCTAGGACAGATCCTTGTGGCACTCCATATTTTACTGGTGATAATTGAGATGACTCCCCATTTAAATGAACAAAATGGTAGCGATCGGACAAGTAGGATCTAAACCATCTTAAAGCCTGCCCTTGAATACCTGTATAGTTTTGTAATCATGTTCAGCTTCATATATGAATTAAATAATAATGATTATGATGATGATGATGATAACGCTAACTAGACCAAGGTCAAGCTTTACCGAGATCCCTTGTGGTCAATTTGGATGCAGCGAAACAGAAATACAATAGACCCATACAATACATTCCTAGACAAACATAAATACATAAAAATACATAAATAAAATAAAAATAAAATTTTCCCTAAAAAATCCTTTAGAACTAGCTATTTCTAATGGATGAATATTTCTGTATCTACAATTATTTTACTATTGTTTCAGATTACACAGGAAGTGAATCATTTCCATGAAAGAGTAACTTATTTTCAAAGAAACAAGCAACTTTTGCATAGCTAGTCTAAATGTAAATAGAAAAGTTTTACTCCCAAGCGGAGTTCATAGGTTGATTTAATCATCAACTCTAATCTGTGCTTATTAGCCAGCTTCTTTCAAAACAGTGCAGGGCCTGCAGGCTACTTTGTGGCCATCTGGTGGTCAAATTATGAATATATAGCACCTAACAAATATGATCTTCATGAACTCAACTCCAGACCACAGTCTATGCTCCAGAAAAACATAAGCAGTATGGCCTGTTTTGCTAAATGAAACAAGATAAGCAATGTGCATTTCAGGAATACTTAAAAGTAAATTTCCAATTCAGCACCAAAAGAAATAAATAATAAATGTCAAATAGGCTGTATGAAATGCTTTGTCTGGTATAGCCTACTGCAAGATATAAATATATGCAATTGTTACCTTATTATCTACTTATTATCTAACAATTATTCTAATTTTAAAACACAAACAAAGAGAGAGCAAGAGAGAGAGAGAGAGAGAGAGAGAGAGAATAATTTATATTAAAGAATTGAAAGGGCTGCTCCAATGATAATGAATTCATAAAATTTGAATTTCCGAAGTTCAGTTTTATAAAGCAACTTTTATTTTACAGGATGATTTCTGCCAATCAAATTTCAATTAATTATGAGAACGACATCAACATACTTTAATTTGACGTACAATAGCTCATATATATCTCTTACTTCTTTTTGCATAAAACCTTTTTTAAATTATACTTTCAATGGTTTCAATTAAAATATTTCCTATCGAAACTATAGTAAATGGTATATTTAAAACAGGAAAAGTCAAAGAAAAATAATTTGACAATCACTTACAATAAATATATTATATACTATCACTATTCACTAATAATGATGTTTAAATAACGGATAATACTACAACTACTTCACAGTTACTTAAAACAATCTACTTTTACTATAAATATTTTATATAATTTGAACCTATTTGAAAGTTTAAATAGAGAAATAGAAGATTACTGCCTATTACACACAGTATTTGAACTCGCTCTAGATTTTCTCTCCTGATGAAACACTTCTCCATTTTGCCCCTTTCTCCAACTTAATTTTCTGTCACTTTCCAGCCCCATGCTCTTCAGCTTTTTGCTTATCTGGAAGACCAGCAAGAAAGAATCAAAACCTAATAACTGCAACAATGTGAAATGTGAAAAACACACAAAGCTATAGGGTGTTGTGGATGGTTGCCAGGGTACAGTTATTGATTCAAAATTTGACAGTGAAACTGAACTCAGTGTACAAACCTCATTCAGAATGGTCGTCTGTAGTGAAGGATCATTCAATGTGCATTTTCCATTACAAGACAATTTCACTCTGACAACCTGTTTTTTAATTAACTTGTCATCTAGAGAAATACAGAGTTAAAATCATCCTCAACACAGAATAAATGAAAACATATCACAGTTGTTTTTAATGTCTGTTTCAAGAGTGGCATACAAATCTCGTTTGAATGGGGGAAACTCACCTCCATAGCAGATAAAAGGTTGCTTTAGATCACAGCTATATTGAGCCCATTTCCCAGAATCGGTTGTTGACATGCCAGCACAGTTACTAGACACTAAACTCAGTAATGGTTGATCTGCTGCCCAGTATCTAAAGAAGTAGCTCCACTGATTCGACCATTCCCAAGAGTCCAGAAACAGACCAATCCAGAGTGATGATTCTTTACTGATCAGATTCTGCTGCTCTGGGCTGCTGATACTCGCCAAATCAGTGTGGTGTTGTCTGCAGTAACTCTGAGCATCTCTCCATGTCATAGCAGTCTTATTAATAATAAAACCAGTGCTGTCTGTTCAGAAACACAAGATAAGGACCAGCCCTCAGTCAAGGAT